GGAGCCAAGGAGCAGAACAGATGGCTTGGCGCTTGCTGCAAGCCCCTTCCTGAGCTGGGAGTTGGAGAGTGGGACCGATTACAGAAGCAAACAAATCGGCATCATCGTGGGTAGGGCTGCTCTCGGGAGGGTGGCACTTTGGGCTTTAGGATTAGATTCACAAGCCCCGTTTTATGCCTGTTCAAACCCCCTTTTTTTTTTCGGGATGCAGGCGGCTTGATGTTATTGCCGACTTCATCTGCCTGACTTCCTCACCGCCCTGCCTGCAGCTTTTCTGCACCCGCTGACAGCCATCTGCGGTTTGTGGCCTGTACCAGCCTCGTCGGGGAGACCAGAACGTGAGGCATGCTGGTGACGTGCACTGACAAAAATGGGAAATGTTGTGGGGGACAGCTGAGTCTCTGGACAGAGGGCCCCAGAGCAGCAGGGTACCTGCAGACTAACAAAACCATAGAACCAGGAGGAACAAACGATGGGAAGTGCCTGTCTGAGCAAGGCCAAGCTTAGCGTCTCGCCTGACCAGCCCAGGGCGAAAGGCTCGGCAGCTGAGCAAGAAGCCAAGCCAGGACTGCAGGTGAGCAGGCTGGGGCAGTGCCCGGGGGTCACTGCAGGAACTTGTCGTACTCCCTGGGGAGCAGGGCGCGCTCACAGGATTCTCTCCTCGCCGCTGCTGGTCGGAACGCTTGGACAGGAGAAGGAGCCATCAGAAGGGGCGCGACGGTGGCTTTGGCTCTGCTCTGATGCTGCAATGCAGGGACAAAATATGAATGCACCTTGTGGAAGGAGGCGCTGGCTTGTCCCACAGCGCGCTGTCCCATCGTCTGCGCAAGCCAGCTGCTCAGCATCCCTCCCCTCCACTGCACGAGCTTACGCTATGCCCATCCCTCTGCTCTGCCAGCTGCACGCGAATGCTGCCGGTGCCCTATGCTGCCTTCCCTGTACCACTGCGGTATCGGGGGGCTGCCCGCAGCCCCTCTGCAGGAAGCAGACCAGAAGGGCAGAACAGAGGCCATATAGACCAGGCAAAGGCAAGAGACGTACCTGCTTGGGCTGGTGCCGCTCCGGTTGCTGGTCCCTGGGCTGCTGCCTATGCAGAGGTTTGTACAATGCACTCTTCAGGTATTGGTAGAGGTTGCTTTTTAGGTGCAAGGGGTTATAAGCAACTTCCACTTCCAAGCTGTTCAGGGCACTCTGCTCAGACAGAAAGAACCCAGTGGTTATGTGATGTGACAGGCAGAGGCTGTGGGGTTTGCTTGGGGTTTCCTGTTGTTTTTAGTGTCGAGGGCTTTTTTTCCAGGGATGAGTGTTACAGACACTCCATACCACCCTGCAGTAATGGGAGGAGGGATCTTTGGCTGCGCTGCTGCCCCCAAGGACCACTCTTTGCTGTACATGGAACAAGAGGCATCTGCAGCTAGGGCTTCCCTTGCAGGATGCAGTCCTGTCCTCCCCCATGCCCAGAATCAGCTGACAGGCTGGAGCACCCTGTCCAGGCACCGTCACCCTGAACTCTCTGCTTCTTAAGGCCTCTTCCCCTCCCGCCAACAGACATGAAACGCTGCTCCAAAGGACAGACACTTGCTGTCTGTGAAGAAAGCCATAGGATGTACTGGCTGCAGGGAAGAAGTTTTGGAATGCGCCATTGTATTCCAGCTGTCACTAGACATTTTCATAGCTGTTTCCTCCTCTACTCATCTGTTAAAGCCTCTAGTGAGGGCTCTGCCCTTCCCAGCATCACCTGGAGCAGAGGGAGAACATATGGAACAACTCAGGAGAACATATGGGTGCACAATAGGAAATGCAGAAGCCTGAATCTATTGAAGCCCGAATCTATTGGAAGAAACAGAGACACCTTATGTATTGATTTATCTTATGCTTAAAGCACCTCTCTCGGCAGTCTGAAGAGATCCGTGTTCCCCAGCAACGAGGGAGGGAGATAGACAGACACATCTTCAGCAGCAGCTGCATGTCCTGTGCATAAAGGCTGATGGTTACTCTGATCCCTGCTTGTACAACGGGGATCCTTTCCACAGATATCCGTGCGGGGCTGTCAATGACTTACCTCTATCTGGCCGTGCACTCTCTCAGGATGTTCAGACAGGAGGGCTGGGAAGGTTGACGGCAGCAAGAGCTCTCTGATGGCGACTGCTTTGACAAGTAGAGTGGCAGAGTCGGAAGGGGCAATGATGTAGTAGGAATGCACCATGATGTTCCAGTTTGGATTAGTGTTCTGTGGCTCACGTTTGGCCAAAAGCATCCAGTTCCTTTTCTAAATGGCAAAAGCCAAAACCAAAGTGAACTATGGGCAATAGCCGCTTCCTTCAGCACTTTCACTGTAGGGGCTGCTGGGTTCAGGAGCAGAGATATTCATACACAGCAGAATAAGAACACTATTCTGCGTTATGGTTAAGGGTAGTATGTTGTTTGGGGTTTGGGTTTTTTTTCTGGTGCAAGCTAGATGGATCTTATTAGGTGTGCACTAACTATTCCTTTCTGTGGCAATCCCTCCCCCCGAGACTGCAGTTTTCACACACTGACCAGAAGACTGTGACATAGAGCGTGGAAGCTGTGCTGGTTTATCTCCAGTTCATCCCAGTCTAGCTGCCAGCAGCTTGTGGGCTTGATGATGAAGGGCAGTCCGTACACCACAGACTCACAGACCCCTTCGTACTTCAGAGCCCTGCAAATACACAGCTCGTGTTAGTGAAGCACAGCCAACAACATGAAGCCAGCACGAAGACTGGACCAGGAGATGACTGGCTCCAGGGGCTGTGTCAGTATCAGCTGCAATGCCGCTACAAGCACTTCGTGTCTGTATTGCTGTGGCCTGTCACTAGGAAACCTTTCAGAAAAGTCCAGCTGCAGTGGAAAGAGGCTTTCTTGCTGATTTCCAGATGCCCTTGTATCTGCCTTGACAAGAGCATGCCAAGAAGCAAATCCAATCATCATGTGTTTTGTGTACAAAACAGACTGTTAATCTGGCCTTGTGGGCAATGACTCACCCAGGCAGTCGCATCTTGTCCTCAGTGATTTCTACTGGGTCGTGGTTGTCCTTCACTTAAACTGATGTGTGCTCTACCCTGCGCAGAGCCAACATCCCACCGCAAACCCCACTACAGACCGTACAGTGCTTGACATTGCCTGGCCACAGCACGCTTCTCCTTTGTGACAGGGCGTTATTAAGTGGCTTCAGGGCTCTGGCTGTAGGCCATTTACGCACAATTACTGCATGCTCCTCAGCTACTGACAGGATGAGAATCGTTTTAAGAACAACTGTATTGCTCAGAAAGCACCCAAAACTTTTCCTATAAATAAACCTCAGAAAATACACTAGAGAGCATCACTCTTCTCGTTATGCTCTGTGCGTGCCAGCCATAGACTGCTGATGGGAAAGCAAATAAGTTCTGTCATGAAGTCACACAGCACTATGAGGCTGTGCTTGTTTTTTTACTACTGGTCAACTAGTTATCCCAGGCTCTGGCATCCAGTTAATTTCTGTGGCTTCGTTAGGTAGTGAGAGAACAGCAGAATTATCTATGGAGCAGTGGCCACAATCTGCAACACTTCCCACGGGAGGGAAACAACTGTTGCATGAATAACTTCTGTGGTGTTAAACTCATGAAGTGCTAGTGTCACGGTAACGCTGCCATGGACTCTGTGCTCCTGTCTGCAAGTGTGGGATGTGCTGTTCCATAGCACCGAGGGTTACGGGGGTTGAGGGTATCAGACACCAGAATTTTGCTCACTGGCACTTTGAGTCCCCCAGCGCTTTACGGTGCTGTTACTAGGTCCTACCTGAAACTGCACAGAAGGAATGAAGGCTGCAATTACACCAGCCTCCCAGTTACCAGGCGCAAAACACGTAACGACACTTACTTTACAACCTGGAGTTTGTACAGCACTGTAGCTGGCCAGGCTGCCATCTGGCAGGGTGAGTTCAAATCTGCTGCTCTCACGGTGCCATCAACCATCCCAGAAAGTAGAGCTGGGTCGAGCAATCTCTCTTGCAAATCACACTTCAGGCACACTAGAAGAAAGAGATTGGTTTAGATTGCTGGAAATGGCAATGTATAGCACATGACATGCTCAGAGCGCTTAAAACACACTATTAATGTTTTCTAGCAACAGCAACTATTAAGGGAAGAAAAGGCTACAGCCTCTGACACAAGGCAACCGTCCATCTCCATTTTACACACAAGGGGAAATGCCACGTGGCTGGCATGTTAATGAAACAAGCACTGGTTGATAACTGGGCAGCCAAGTTCTAGTTTTGGCGATGAGTGGCCAGCTGCAGGGGGAGCAGGAGTTAATTTCCCAGTGCCACGCTGGGTTCAGGGCCACACATCTCCTGACAGCTTTTCTGCCTGCATTTGTGGAGAAACCCAGCACACCGATGGCACTAACTCTGGTACATGGTTATATACAGCTGCATACAGTTTCTCTGGCCTTCTACAGATTTATTGAGTGTGGGAAGGTGAAAAAAAACCTGACTGCAGCGTCACTTGGTTTGCCTTGCTAGCTTTAATAAGAGAGTGCATCAAGTGTGAAATTTGTTATGATGAAGGAAAATCCACATTTACCAAATATCATGATAGCCTGTGCTGGTCTGGAGGCTGTTATGGTAGCTGCTCCATAAATAAAAACTCACACCAGGCTTTCTGATCTGCTTGCTGTGGAGCACATCTGCAAAAGCCACCAGCAGCTCTGTGTGAGCTTTGCTTCCAGTCTGGAACTGGCCTGTGGATCACCAGAAGAAAACAAGCGTGCTTCTGCTGCGATGGCAGTGGGAAGCTGCATGTGAGTACCACGCTGGAGTGGCACGGAAAGGGAACCACCAAACTGCACGTGCAGATTCCCATGGCAGCCCAATGGTGACGATACAGTTAACAACAGCTGAGGGGAAACCCCTCCGTGTGCTATAGCTGTTGGTGTTTCAGTGGTCACCCAAGGACAGAGCAGGGATTTGGACTTGGACTAGTAAGGGAAAAACATTACATATCCCTTATAAGTTTTCCCATGCATTATCTATCTGCTGTTGGCAGCTCCAGCTACAACATTAGCTATTTTAGGGCTAAATCAATAGATAGAAATACAAGCCAAGTCCCTTTGTAAGACAGCCTTTAAGTGCAGCTCTGACACAGACTTTTAGCATCAAACACAAGGAACGCAACTTTTAGGGCTATACAACTGAGGCAGAAGGTGCTTGGCTCTCAGCATGTAGGGCCCCTTTTACCTTGACAAAGTGGCTATATTTATGGCTATAAATTCACATACTCTTCAAGGCACATTTTTGCTGCAGAATGGAAATCAGTTATAGCATGAGCAGCCACAGGACATGGCAGCAAGCTGGAAATATTCTCAGCAGATGGCGCCTCTCAGCCTGAGACACCCATAGGACAGGCCTGGGTAATCTTTAAGGCTGTGGGATTTGGGAGCTCCCTGCAGAAGGGAAGAGAAAATGGAATACTCAGGGCGGTCTTGGGTGTGATGGCATGGCTGAAGGCTCCTGATGGCAGGAGGAGATGGAGGTGTTCTCTCTCTATGCCGTAGTCGTGTAGCCATGTTTTGAACAGCATCTCCAAGCTGATGACGTTGTCCTCTACGGTTTGCACATCGATGTCCATTCCCAGGATTGCAATGTCTGCAGGAAAAAAAGGTGGAAAAGCACAAATATTTTCAGCCATAGAAAAGAACATTCCTTTGCATTTTCCGCTGCGCTCTACCTCCCTAGTCCCTCAGGTGCTTTCAGCTGTGGAGTGCCGCAGAAGCCATTACTGTGCAAGCCACAGCACAGCGCTGTGGCTGATGCCAGCCCTCGCACAAGGACATTGCTGGAAGCCGAGCTGCTCCACACGCCACACCAACACCCTTCGCATCCGTGGGGTGGGTGGACTGGCTACTGCCATCTTCAGAGGAGTAGTTGTGACTGATGCAAACCCTCCTCTGCCGTGGTCATCTTAGCACTGGCCTCAGAGACTCCTCTCACATATTTAAACCATTTCCTCCTTTTTCCTACTGAGGGACACTGGATACGTGATGCTAGGAGGAATCAGAGAGACTGCAAAACTGAAATGCCATACTAATGGAGAATTTTGTAGTAGGGATGGAAAAGTACTCCTCATACAGACGATGAACATTTCTTTGCAATATGGCCCCATGGCTAAATTACTAATAATCCTCCTCCCTTAAGAAGCCAGCATTTACAGCCACCCAAAATACCATCCTCTTCCCATCAGGACAAGATTGGTGCTTTTAGAGAATACTTTGGCCTTGGAGCTGTAGGCAACAGTTCCTTCCACAATTTTGTAACTTGCGGGTTTGGCATATTAAATTAATCCTAAAGTCACATCAGAGTGACAGAACCTTGATCCTCCTCCTCAGGACTCCCTGTGCCCAGCGTCAGGGGTGGTGGTGCTGGTCGCAGAAGGCGCGCCCTTGCTCTGGCCGAGCAGTTTTACCTGCCGGGATGAGCGCTCTCCCTGCAGAGTCCAGAATACCCAGCCATGTCTCATTGAGGGAGAGTGCCCTGCAGGGCGGGAAGCTCTTAACGGGTAGTAAGAGGGTAGATATGCCTCTAAATGTGTGATTATACAGCTCAGTGCTTGGTTTGGTCTGCCACCAGGCTGTGGGGTGCAGAGGCAGCGGGGAGAGCGTCCTTGTCTGCAGCAAGATGCACCCGGTCAGCGCTGTGCTGCACAGGGAAAACCAGCGAAAACTCCTGCTGTTCAGCAGTCATTTCACCAGCCTTGAGAAAGAGCTGAAATAACCGAGCAGATTGGAAAGTGAGGTGAAAGGAAATACAGAAATGAAAGTTGCAGCTACAGCAGCATTGCAATGTGCAGGCTTCTACCCTGACCCGCTGCGGCGTTGGACCTTTGATCACCATCTGGCTGGTTCACTTGGAGTCCGTGCAGCACCTTCTGCTTTTAAACAAAAAGGCTCAAAACAGGAGCCGACAGGAATTTCTGTTTCTGAATTTCTCATCACTATAGCTTAAATTCTCACTGCTGAGAACTGTCAGATTAAGGGAGGAGTTCTTTGGCGATATGGCCAGGAAAAATACCATTCAGGGTTTGGGGTGCACTCATCCTTCACTCATGAAGCATGTGGCCGCTGTGCAGGGGATGGGGCAAAAAGGAATCTGTGATCCACCTAAATATTCCCGGCCCCTGCTCTGACAATTGACTAGAAATTTGCTACTGCAACCAGAAAAGAAGAACGACAGCTAGAGACAGGTAAGGCAACATCATCCAACACTGCCTGCCACTCAGTAAAAACAATATTGCCAATGCTTGTAACACTAACTTTGCAAGGTATCAGGACTCAGGTTTTTAAGCTTGTTATCAACTCCTCGTGAGAACTGGCTGTGTGAACCGGAGCTTGGCACCAGGTGTGTCTTGTTGATGGGGAGTTTAAATGCCAGCAGTAAAGGGCTTTTGGGATGGGGGAGTGGGATTGGCAGTTGGGGGGGG